TTTCCCTCAGGTGGTAAGCTCAGGCACCGTCAAAACTGGTCATAGGAGGTCTGTGCATGTGTGCCCCCCAACCAAGTGATGCTGAGTCTTCCCTCTTCTGGTCAAGAAATATGAATTCTGGCATAGTGTCCTCAAGAGACCTGTGGGGGAGGGGAATACAGGACTGTGATATGCTCTGTTGGATTCTGCCATGTCCTTCCACTATGGCCTTGATGCACTGGATCTGGCCTGCTGCCTTTTTGACCTAAGGGGCTTCACAAAGACTACTTTTTAGAATCTGTCTGCATTTTGTCAACATTATCTTAATAGTACAAATTTATCCACCACTGTCAGAATCCCCAGTATTTTTAGCATATCAGCACACCCTATGAGGATGCTCTTGTTTCCTCAACCAGTCATGTCAAACTTTGTCCCATAACATTTTCTCTGCAGTGTGTTTCTGAGATGACCTGCTGTGTTTCTAGCACAGTGATAGGTATGGGATTTCTGTATAGGTGATAAGTCACATCTAGGAAACTTGTTGATTCAAAGATTTTATCGTAAGTTAACAGGTCACGAGTGTTATTGTAACTGTTACAATTTGAGTTCACAGCTCAATCAGTCAGGTTGCTTTCCCCATTTTATTGCAGTGCTTTTAAAGCTATTGCTTGCTGTCACTTGAAAATGAAACTTGGTTGTAAACTGTAATGAACGATTTGATCATGTGAGTTTCTCACAGCAACCTTTCTGGGGACAGGATGGCTTTTCTCCTAACAAAACACCAGGGAAAAGTATCAGTTGTAGTAACACTGGGGTTTAAAAACTCAGCTTTTAAGAGCGTTCAACATACGTGGTTTTTGAGGGTTTTTTTTTTTTTAAACCAAATCCTCTATGGGGGGGGGGAATCTACAGCTTTGTAGTTTTTTCAAAGAGGTGTCAGATCCCTTCTTTCAGTGGCCATTTCCTGAGAAGTTTAAATGAGGCATACCTGATAATGGTGATATTTGACTGTCTTGGTGGGGATCTGGAGAGAAGGTACCCTTTTCATTGGCAAAGAAATGCTGATTACTTACAACTTTATGGGGAGGTTGTGGTAAAATAAGTATTTGTTTGTACTACACCTTCATATTTACATCATGTTAACATGCTCAATAATAACTCCTGAATATTTTTTAAAAACAGAAAAGATAGAACATGACATCATCTTCCACAATTTTAGCTCTGAATCACATGCCCCCCTCCCCTTTTAAGTATCAAGTTTCCCTTGCAGTGGTCACACAAATGCTATGAGGATTTTTGGTCCTACCCATCTGAACTGAACTATCTTGTAGCTTCAGTGCTTAAGAGTCATGCAAAACTTTAAATTCTGTGTATGTTAACCTTTTCTTTGAATATTTCATTCCTTTTTCTGTGCAGAGACTGATATGGGAAACCTGCCCATTATTTTTTTTAATATGTCATAGACTTATTACATCCAACTCCTGTCCCCAGATAGCTGTTAAAGAGAGAGAGTAATGTTTTTTAAAAAATTTCTGAGGTTTTCAAATACCTGGCATTTAAACCTTTTTTCAGTGACGTAATTGGGATTTCTTTTTTCTTTTTAGCAAAAAAAGGCCAGTGTAAAGGTATAAATGTAAAGGTGGGGCTAAGCAACTGATCATGGTTCTGGGCTTTGCTGAGACCTTTAGATGTTATTTACTCACTTGCTCCTATGTTAGTCTTTCAGAGGCTTATTTTTTCAGCCCTAGGACCCCAAGAACAAATTGGCTGCAAGATGAAACGTGGGGAGGAAAGAATGATGATCCAGCCGTTTCCTGATGCTGCTCATGTTAGGAAGCATTTCCCCCTAAAGCTCCGCTTATCACATTCTTTGAGTTCTTTGCAAAAAGGGAAGCAAGGTCTTGCGAAAGAGAGATTCTGAGGAGAAAAATCCTCTTTAAACAGTTTAAATAAATAAATAAATAAAAGATTTACAACTTAGGAATTCCTGGCTCTCTACTTCCTTGGTGTCAGGAAAGGATTATTTAAGCCTTTCAGGAGCCTTTCATAAACCAAACAAATCATTATTTGCCTTTGATCAAATAATTGTGATGATCTAGAGACAAGTTAACTCAAACTAGGTTGGAGTTTGATTTCATTATTTTTGCTTTCTTTTCATTAGAATATTTCCTTTGAATCTCTCTCCCCCCCCCAGTGAACTTCTTGCCTTCTTTGAAACTGGGAACTAACAAAAAGATTAGCAATCCCCTTGTAAAGAGTAAGGCACATCTAAGCACTGGAGGCAGGCAGGCACATCTGAGTGTGGAGGAAAGGGCTGCAGGTGCTGGGGAACAGCCAACTTTGCATCTGAGCACTATAACAGAATAGCAAGCATAAAAGTCAGCCAAAAAAGCTCCAGTGAAAGTTCACATTTACATTTCAGTTTGTAAGAATTATACATGGTCTTCTATGTATGAAAGAAAGAAGTGATAGCGGAGACATAAGTTAAAGGTGAATCTCCTGATTACTTTAAAAAGATACTTCAGTATTTTTACATTTCGTCACAATGAAGTGTCTCAGAAAGTTATAATACTCTCTTTGGCAAATCCTTTTTTTCTCTTTACCGCACCCCCAAGTTCATAATAGAAAATAGAAAATATACATAATAAAATCTTTTGCACTATAAATGTCAAGATGTTTGCAGCTGTTGTTTGGTGGCTTTCGTGACTCAAACCACACATGTTATTTTAGCTCTCAATTCTACAGCCTGACAAAGCTTTCTATAAGATACTCTTGGGCTTTTGGTTCCAAGGGGTGAATGTACTGTTGCCAGCAACCTGAAGGAAAAAGGTCTTATTTCCTTCTTGAGAGGCTCATGGGACGGTGATGCTGTTTATTGCCATGCCATGAAAAGCTTCACCTGCCTACTTTCACACATTAAACTCCTATTAAAAGAGCTGGACATTTTTTTCTCCAGGCAGTTGGCCTCCGTAGCTGAAGATCTGGGGAATTCAGAAATCCGTATGCTTCAAGTAGAGGAAGTTTATAAAAAAGATTGGCATATCAGTGACCACTGTGGTGTTGGCCTGTTTTCAGAATACCAATCATATGGTGTAGCCCACCTTCCCCCCAATCATGTGAGCCCAGTTGCCTATTCTTAAGTATAGTGTGAGCCAGAAGATCACATATTTGACAGTTCAATAAAACAAGTCTAATGGCACATTGTTGTTGTTCAGTCGCACAGTCGAGTCCGACCCTTCGCGACCCCATGGACCAGATCATGCCAGGCCTTCCTGTCTTCCGCCGTCCTCTGAAGTTGGCTCAATTTCATGTTCGTTGCATCTATGACACTGTCTAACCATCTCATCCTTTGCCGTCCCCGTCTTCTTTGACCTTCAATCCTTCCCAGCATCAGGGTCTTCTCCAGTGAGTGCTCCCTTCTCATTTGGTGGCCAAAGTATTTGAGCTTCAGTTTCAGTATCTGGCCTTCCAGGGAACAGTCAGGGTTGATTTCTTTTAGGATTGACTGATTTGATCTT